TCAGGCCTCTTTTGCTTCTTTTTGCTAATTCTCTTTCACCCACTTGAGCGTTATTGTGCTCACACTTGGTTTTCCCTTCCCGGTAGAGGAGAAAAAGAGGGGAACAAAATCTTGACTCTGTTAATTAAGAAGTTAGAAAACTATTTTCAACCTGCACATTTGTTTATGCTTGGGGTTTGATTTGTGGATTTCCATTCCCACCCTGTTTTGAAGTGCAGTACCTGCTGCTTTTTTTTAGGTTTTGTATCTTTTCTGCGTTCTGGGCACTGAAAATGATCATACGTTATGCAGAAAAGTTATTTTTAGTGGATAGGAAAATACTAGCAAATACTCTATAGTTCCTATAAAAAACAGCTATTTCTGGAATAAGCATAGATTGCAGTTGTAACCTGTTACATGTTTCAGTACTGTGAGCCTTGTATTTAAACAGACATACAAATGCTTGAAAAAGTTTTATTGCTGTGTGTTACATTTCTGTTACTCTGATTTACTAGCTACATTAAGTTTTGTTTAAGAAATTGTTACAATAGTTTACACAAATAAGAAAAAAAATATTGAGGGATTTGTGTAGTTTAGGCAAGATACTCAAAACTGTCATGGGGTTTTGAATACTTAATTATAATGAGGAGTCCAAAGTGGTGGTTGAAATTGTAGCTTCTGGGTTATGCATGTGAAAGAAAAATAGGAATGTAAACTGTCTATAATGACCTCTGTGGTAAGCTATTAATGTCAGAGGGCTGGCACTACTTGGAGCTTTTCCTCTCAAGGAAATACTGTTCAATCCTATAAAATATTTTTTTCCACGATATTTTTCACTTTAGAGATAGAGTTTTATGGTCAGTTAGTATTCTTTACTGGTTTGTAAACAATAATTTTTAGGACCCAGAAGCACTGGAATTAATTTATTAAGTGTAAATTCATCTACATGTCAGTAATCAAAACCAGCTTATGACAAACAAACTAAATAGCCATTCTGATAGGACAGGTGAAATAAATGTACAATAATACTTAAAAGTTCAGTTAAAAATGTGCCACAAATATGTGCAAAAAGAACCTGTAATGCCACCCTACATTTTATAAGGATAAACCACGATGTTGCACAAGGAGAGGTGGTTGGGACTGAACCTTTTGCCATGTCACAGGCCCCACGAGCATGACACACTGTAGGCAGGGAGACTGTGCTCTGCCTGCGTGGCAGCGACCCAGCGTCCTCACCTCCGCCCTGTCAGGAGCTGAACATGCTGAGGCAGGAAAAAAACCCTCGAGTGCTCTGAGTGGTGTTTGGCTGTAACTGACTTAGCTGGCCTTCTGGGAACATGATCATCCTCACCTTTTGCAATTTAATTTAAGGTTATAGCCTGCCTCATGCTGCTCTGCCGTGCTGGTTTCTCCTCTGTATGTGAACAAGTGTTCGCAAGGCTGCAGGACAGATCCATTTGCTGCTGGGTATTTAAAACATATGGTGGGGAGGTTTTTCTGCCTCTATTAGCAACTTTGAATAAGGGAAGCATAGGGGAGAAATGGACATTCTTTGAACAAGTGTTGGTGTCAAGAGGAAAAAAGCTGTGTGGAGCTGTGCCCTTGATGCCAATGGTAATACGGGACACCCAGCATTGTTTTCCCCAGTCAGGCACAATGTCAAGCTCTTCAGTGGCTGATCTGGAATATCCAATGGTAAAAACGGCCATGGCCAGTGTATGCAAACCTTCTGTAGAGCAACAGGGCACCCAGGCAGTGGTGCAATCGCTGTGCTGATACTGGCCAATGCATGAGAATCCCTGGCGTGTCTGAAATACAAGGAAATTAATCTTGGTGTATACTATTAGATTAAAATACACTCACTTTAATGCAATGACAAAGTTTGTTTTGTTATGATTTCCTGCTTTATTTCTAAATTAGTTTCTAAATTTCTATCTAAATTTCTAAAGCAGTTTTTCCTTCTGTTATAAGTAACAAGATGGTGTTACAGTTATTGAGATTGAATCTCCTTTTTCTGGCTCTTGCCTTTTTTTTTTTTTTTTAGTTTCACTTAATTCCTTTGGGTTTGTTGGTTTTTTGGGTCTCTTTATCTCAGATCTCCCCTGCCCTTAGCCACACAGCTTCTAAAGCTGTTCAATTACTGGTTTAGAAGATGCTTTTTGGAGTCTTAAACCGTTACTTCAGTTTTAACATGCAGGAAGCTGCAAGATTTGAAAACTGCTAAGGATTTTAGTATTGCAGTGGAAGCAGTTACCTTAATCTGAAATTGAGAAACACTGTTCTTAATGCTGGACATACCATGGCAGAGTTGAAGACTGTCTTTGGCTACCGTTTTGTTACACTGCTTTAGTGCATTAGTAAAAATGGGTAGGGTTTCACGAGGAATCCTATATATCAGAGTGCCCTTGATATTTTTTGCTAATTTTATTTTGTGGAAAGTTATTGATATTAGAACTCCTGTCAGCAGAACAAAGAGGTAGTCAAATGTATCTGAAACAGGAGTCCTAAACCCTGGTTCCTAAATCTCCTCTTCTGTCTCTCTGCTCTGGGAAACAGTGACAGATAGTACTTTTGCCATTGGCAGCAGCAAACATCATTTTCTCAGATTAAAAGTGAGCAGAAAGGCTAACAGTAGTATTATTTTGTGTTTTAACAACAGAGTAAACTGATCACTTCAAGGCTGGTGCTAAAGTATTTCTCCCCCCACCCAGTTCTGTCCATTGGAAGAAGCATAATATGTTTTATCTGAGTTAGGAAAAAAACACCTAGAAATGAGAAGGTAGTTTATTCTCCATCCGTCTACAGCCATGGCAATGCTAATATTGAAAAACTCATGCTTAACTAGCACAACGTGTGGTTTCCTGTGATGTGTACAAATATCTGCTGGCCACAGAGCTGAGGCTGCTGTAGTCGTTTGCTGTGTTTCCCAACAGCAATGAGTTAATACATTTAACCACAGACCTGAAATGGAAATAAAATAGTGATTGTAAAGTTAAGAGTGTCATGGTTAATTGGCTAATTTATCTGGTGTGGGAGGGCTGTTGACTTCACATGAAAGTGGCAGGCAAGAATGCAATTAGCTCACTGGTGAGACTCTCCTGTGGCTTATGTCTCCCTGAGGAGACATTGGTTTCAGAAGAGTTATATGAGTTTCTACTTAGTGTATGGCCTACAAGTTTTCTTCCTCTGGCAGACCTCTGCCGAGAATCTTTTCCCAGTTTGAACAAGTACAGCTCATATCCTCCCTGATTAATAGTACCCTTTTTTCTGTATGTGTAAGTAGTCAGAAAGTCTTTTACAAATGTATTGGTTCCACGAGCTTATCAGTTATGGCCATATCCTGGCTTTCAGGAGACTGTTCTGTACCAGAGTTACATATTTTGTGGGCGTTGTCTCCTGTTGTAACAGGGTTATGTTTTCTCTAAACAATATGACTTCCTTACATTTAAGTCCTGGTACGAGTACACTGACTAAAAATGGAGTAGAGGAATTATGCTCTGATTTTACCTTATTTTTTTTTTTTTTTTTTTTTTTTTTTTTTTTTTTGGAGTAGTCCCTATTGAGTAGAGGAAGAATATTTGCCTCAAAGTTTGCTAGATCTTCTGTTGTTAACTTGTACATAGACAGTCTTACTCTAGTAACTGATATATGGGGCTGATTAATTATTCGTTTTACAACTGAGATGAATTTACTGAGTCAAGATACATCTTTCTGTTGTAGACTTGAAGTGGCATTTTATATTACTTTTGGCTAGTACAAGCCAATTTAGGACATGAAATTTAGAATAAAAGACTTTGTATAGAACTAATCCAGATGTTGCAATTCAGAGCTGAAAATTTCAGTCACTTTTAAGAACCCCTTCCAGTTTGGAAGAAGGGAATATTTCTAACCTGTTGTTTCGTAAACCAAAAGTGTGAATTCATTAATAAGTTGCTGTGGATTAAACCATGACAATTCTCTTACGCTATGGCAGCTATTCTATGCTAAATTTGAGATATCTCACCCTTTAGCAGAAAAAACAAGCAGCAAGATTTTGTAGTTTTAGAAGCAAATAACCAACAGCTGAAAGATGCTATTTTTTTTTCTTTTTCTTCTTACAGGTCCCATGCTGTTTTAAGGCCTGCTGCTTGGAGTGGAGAAGATTTCTATTATTGCTTTGACAATTTCAAGATTGTTTTCACCCTCTCTCAATCACAAGCCTACTGTAGCTTGTTAGTTATGCTATTTATTTTTTCTTTCTCCAAATACTATGTGGCTATTTCATGTCAGGCTGGAACCTGCTTTAACTGAAGGGTGGAGAATCTCTGGGTGGGGTAGATCCCCAGCTTTCTGGGGCTGTGCCAGTGCCGTCTCCCATGATCTGGTACATATCTGACAGCATGACCACAGCCATGGGGTGGGATGTGTGCCTACTTGACTAGGAGTGCCTGCAGTTTGGTCCCTTGGTGGATCCACTCTGGTCATGTCATGTGATTAATTGGGATGAAAAACTAGATGGATTGTTCTTGTTAGTTATTAGAGTCTTCTTATTCCTGTTCTGGTGTTAGTCATCTATTCAGTGACATATAAGGAGAACCTATTTATTGCAGCTTGAGGAGAATTCCATTACACTAGTTAATTTGGAGAAGCAGGGGAAAAGAAAGCATTGTCTTCTAATGTTGACCAAAACCAAAATTCTAGAATGAAGATGAGTTATCAGTGTAACTGCAGCTATTTATATTGCAATGGTAGAATCTCCAGGTCACTTTTCTGTTACTGTAGGTAACAGGTACTGAACAGCTCAGACACAGAACAAGAGAGCTCTTTGTGAAAGTCTAAGTCTAAAGCTATCCTATATTATATCTCATCTTCTGCTTATCCTTTCTTGGGCATGTACCTCACTGGCTTTCTGCTGCAGATTTCAGACTGATTTTCTAATCTTAAAATTATAAAAAATATTTTTTCTCTTTAGATTTTAAGTGAAAGGAAAAATAAAATATACTGTGAACTTAGAAAGGGTTGGAAAGGATGAAGAGAAATAAATGTTTTCATAATATAAAATTTTATTTACTGAATTTTAATAAGGTCTACCCTAGAGCAAAAATAATAAGTCCTATTTTGATCAAAGAGGATTCAGTTTCAACTGGACATGTTTTATAAAGGTAAACATGCTTAATCAGATTCAATTTTACCTTCAGCAACTCTTAAACAGAAGTTTATCAGCCAATTAAGTTTATTCAGAATCAGGGACATTTATGCCTTGGCACAGCAAAATATTTAATCATATTTTTAGGTCTATGCCTTCTTCCTTTTGAGTATTTGTTTACATTTCTGGAAGATTTTATAAAATACATTTTTCTAACTGAGCAAGCCAGTGACTCAAAACTTTAGGTTAGATTGAAGAAGAGAGGCTTCCTTGAAAATTTCAGCTCTACACCGATTAAAAAGGAAATAGTTTTTATTCTGTAGGGGAAGATTATTTACATGCACATTTACCAAAACCTGGTAAAGATGCAGGGTGCTTTAGAAACATTGAAGGAGATGTGGTCAGAGAAACAGGTGTGATCATGCCTCCAAAATGCTTATAGTTAGTACTGATGCAAGACCCATATTATATTCAGAAGGGAAGAACAGAGTAAATTGAGGAATAAAACCTAGTTTCAAAACAAAAAGTTTTACTGTTTTGAAGATGTAGAAGAATATGAATACTGGTACAGGACATGAGGATAACTTAAGACTTGAAGCAACAGAAAGAGAAGACAGAAGAGGAACCATATCTTACTTGAAAAGGAGGTAAGACATCTGAGTTGGTACAAGCTATTTTGTGCTCTCCACTGAAGAGAGAGTGGCTTGGAAATGAGACAATAACGAACACCAAGAAAAACAAGAAGTGAAAGGTAGGGTACTGTGGTTGCATCAAGAAGTGTTATCACTTACAGCACTTTTTTGGTTTCTCATTTCCACTAATGGAAACATTAAAAAAAGTAAAAAAAAAAAAAAAAAGGTTTGTGGTAAAGGACATACAGTGTATGTATATCACACAAATCTCCTGTGGAACAAAAAGCACCATAAATGTGTCATTAAAGGAAAATGTAGCACTTTATTCCTGATGCAGTTTTTATTCGATTTCTTGTGTAAATCACTATTTTATTACATATTTTTTTCAAGTCATCTGCAGTTTCTATAATGCCACTGTCATCATAAAGCAGATGAGTAGCATCTGAACATTTAAAAAATCACGGTACTAATTTTTTTTTAAATGCCTGGTTTTTAATATTGTACCTACTTCTGTCATAATTATATGCATATGATTATCACTCAGTTATTGCAGGGGAAAAAACGGGGAGTCAGCAGGAGGATTTTATTCTTGTGGTGTTTAGGGGTTTTTTTTGTTTATTATTATTTTTCTGTCAACCTTGGACTAATAGGGGGAATTCATCAGTGATGTTTCCCAGGAATTTGTACCAGGCTTCTGTGCTTCAGTGTTGTCATAAATGATCCCAAAGGGGCTACAAAATGAGGTGAGAAGGTTTGCTGATGACAGGGAATTACTTAGAGTAATAAAATTGAAAGTTGACCTTTTACTTTAGATCTGTAATGATACTCAGTAGCTGGGTGATAAAGCAGCAAATATTAGTAGTGTAAACTGATTTGCCTTGAAGAAAAGGTGGTCTTGGGTTTTTTTAATCCAAAAGGGCAAGTCTTAAGCTAGCTCTGTTATTGCTTAGATTGTGTAATAAAAAAGTTTTGTGAAAATAGTGCAGTGTTCAGTGGTGGTCAAAATAGCAAGTATTAGGAATAATAGAATTGCTAAGGAAAATGATAGCATAAAATGCAAACGATTGTTGTATTACTGCATAAATCCATGGTACACCTGTATCACAAATATGACATTCAAGTCTACTCCTGTAAGGTAATGAGTAGCATGCTGGAGGTAAATAGAAATGGTCACTATTTCTCATAACACAAGAAAAAAAGAATCAAATCAGGTGGCAAATTCAAAAGTGCATGCTGAACATTGCTACCTGTCTTTCCCTGGTATTGCATACTGCAATTTCTCAACTGTCTTCTGCTCTGTGAAGTTATCCCACCTTTTGGACTGGACTGCAAATCAGAGTTAAAGTATAAGCTTTTTAACGGCTTTGTGGAGAAGATGAGTTAGGATCTGATGTACCTTTGAGAGATTAAAGTTCAGAGCACACTTTTCGCTTTCCTATGCATGTTGAGAACGTACAGTTCTGCTCTTTAAGCACTGTGGATGAAAAGTGCTATTACCTTGTGTTATGAATTGTACGAACCAAAGGTCTTCCTTTTCCCTTAGGTTTTTAAATTATGGTGCTTAGTTCCTGGTGAGAATTTATCTTTAATTGCAGACAAAATAACAATCAGTGCCATGAGCAGAACTCGGTGTTGAAAATAAAAAATATGTAACTGAAGAATGAATGATTACTTGTTCTAGCAAAAAAAAAAAATCTCAAAGGATGGGGGGTAAGCACGTATGAGTGCAAAGAGGTGCAGCTGTATGACCAAGTGAGTGTGGGTGAGTACATGTGAGCATGGGCGTGAGACGGCACAGGAGTCAATGTGTATGAGCAAATGGGCATGGCGGGGGGGGGTGTGTGTGAGTCAATGTAAAGATGCATCAGTGTGCATACATACTGGTGAGCGTGCAAGTGAGTGTGAACATGTGTGCAAGCATGCGGGTGAGTGTGTGTATTGAGTGTTTTTCAAGACATAGGAGGGTGAAGGATTTAAAACAGAATTTATGGCCTTCCATTTTTGTGCTCCACAGAGGTGGTTGAGGAGAGGTGGCTCTCACTCTCCAGTCCCCCACCTGTCTGGAGTCCATTTGTTTTTCCCTGCTGCACTTTCACAGGGAATGTGCTGAAGACTGAATCTTCCAGTGAAAGGGTAGCAAGAGCATTTCTGCTCTGGAAGCAATTTCCCCAATCTTTCTAGACTCTCAGCAGTGTGAAGCACCCTTTTGTCCAGTGTTTCATCTGGTTATGCCAAAATGAAATATGCAGTTTGTGGACATCTGTAGAATAGTGCTGACAATGTTTGCAGTTTTGGACACTGAAAACAAAAGACACACAAAAATATATCCCTGTGCTTGTTGGAACAATGAGTTATAAACTTGATATGTATTTGTTTCCTCACACTGAAAAAAAGAATGATATTTAGCAAAAAGTATTGTTGGTATCCTCGTTGGACCCCAACATTATCTTGTTCCTGAAAAACTTGCTGAGGAAATTTGAATGTTATAAGAATGGGAGGATATGGTTGCAAGTTCTACTCCATCCTGCGTTGTTTTGGACCCTGGCCATCAGGAAACATTTTATCTACTTCAGACATGAAACACTTTCTCTTCAGAAGTAATATTACAAGCAAGATGTGTAAATAATCTGTGGCAAGGGGCAACTTTATTACAGAAAGGGAAGTCATCTCAACTTTTCTTTGATGAAATTTTAAAAAGATTTCTACAAAAGATATGCAGAGAGGAATTTGCATGGTTTGTATTGACCTACATAAACCCTAGTTAAACATAAAAGTAGCTTACAAGTTGTTTCACTCTGCTTCTGTCACCCTTTGTGCTTTATCAACCACTGAACCTTATTCTTTGTGAATTCATACATGTTTAATATTGCATTGCAGATATTTTTTCCTCACCTCCAAAAATATTAATAAAAATAAGACTGGATGAGAATATTTAAAAGAGCATTGTTTATCCTATTCTTGCCTCTGCCAAGCTGTGTGTCTAGAAAATAGAAATACAGGCTTCTGCCTGCTGCAGAGGAATGGAAATAAATCCTCATATGAGCTCTTTCAAAAGAAATTACATATCCTGGAGTAATTACTCACAGATCAGCATAACATTTTGTTGCATATCTTGAGCTTTATTTCAAAAGATGGACTCTAGACATTTGCTTTGGTATCTAACTGGTAATTTTACCAAATGTAACTAGCTTGGATGAAAAGTTATGTGGTTGACCTGAATGACTCATGTCACGGGGGGAAGCAGGAGAAAGACAGTTTGAAGCAAAGGGTACAGGAAACCTTGTGGAGAAATAAAATCAAGATTGCTACATATTCCTGTAACTAACACTCACTTTTAAGAATATGTTTCTGCAGAAAGAGGAATTAAATAGTGATATGATATAAAAGTAATACCTTTAAAATAATTTTGGAAGACCAACATCAAATCAACTGTGCAACCAAATGGCCATCACACTGCAATTACTTAGACATTGTTTCTTCTTATTGGCAGTTTTAATGTGAATTACTTTACAGTGATTAGTGTTCATACTTATTCTGTGAAATAAATAAACATTAAGCCAATGGTTTCATAGATTGTAAAGCAAATAAGTTATTCCATGTTGTGGAGCAATTGCCACACTGGAAATAAAAAACAGAAGCTTTGATTCCAAATCTGTTGATACGATTTGGAAGTGGAAAAGCTGCCCGATATCTAAGAGCTTCCTAGAATTGGTTAGCTACATGTTGCCTCCTTTTCTGGTGTTGACACTGGATTTAAGGTAGCTAATACCGCCTTTCTTTATGGTACTTGTTGCCAAAGCATTTACAGTTTTAAAAGGTGATGGAGATGGAAATGTCTGAGAGACAGACTGACCTATAAAATAGATCAGGACAACAAAAATTATTCTGGATCTTATTTTCTTTGCTTATGTTGTCGCATCTTCTGGCCTTAATCTCACATCCTTCCGTGTTCTATACCCTCCACCAATAAAAATGTAACGTACAAAGAGCTTTCATCAGTCTATCTGAAAGCACTCTGCAGTTGTTCCTTGTTTCACAAAACCACAGTTAGATAACGTCCATTCTGCAGGCTGGTGAACTGAAGCCAAGACGAACTGGTTTGCCAAAACAAATTGTATCTGTTGTAAAAGCATTATCAAACTCTTTCTGTGAGCCTCAGGCTGCAGATGTATAATTTCATCTAAGAAATGGTGCAGGTTCAGTTGCCTCATTACCAGAGAACTGGAAGGCCTGTCTCGCAACAGAACTTTTTCATCCATCATTCCCTGGCCTTTCTGAGTTTCTCCCCAGAACTTCTTGTGCAAAGGGACGTGTGGAGCCCCTGCAAATCCTTCTGAGGAGTCATCCTTCCCCAACCTACCCAACAAATCACACAGTCTCTGTGTTGAGTGGAATTTCTATTCTTGCAGAGATGGAAACATGTTGCTTCCCAGGCTATTTTAAAGTTAATATGATTTTCTGAGGTTTTAAGGAACTTTTCCAAGTGAAGTGACCGCACAAAGATTTTTTTAGATACTCAAATACAGTCTCAAGGCTTTATCATCTGGTCAAGGCAAAACTCCCTTCATGTTAATGACTGCAGACATAGGACTCAAATTTTGGGCAAGAATTAATATTTCACATCAAAATATTCTGACTTTTGTACCACTAATGGTTAGTAGTAGACTGCAATCAAGTTATTTAATCATGTAAGGGTTTTCAAAGCCAGTAAAAATATCATCATGAGATTTTTTTTGAATCCTCATTTACAACAAACATTCATTGCCAGTGCTTTATGATCACAGAAGGACATAGTTTAAGCATGGGTTTAAAAAAAAAAAAAGCTTTCAATACAAGATCTACTTCTGTCATCACATCTGTCTGCCTTTTGCCATTAGGCAAGCAGTGTATTTATCTTTGAAGTCCTTTATTTGCAAAGGTGCTAGTCATGCTCTGTTAGTACTCTCTAATCTCCATATGTGCACTTAGTTGAGAGCATAATACATTTTTATTTCCTGATGAACTAATGGTTTCTGATGAGTTGCAGGGTCTTCAGTGTTGTGAAGGTCTGTTTTGACCCTAAATGACTTGGGTTAGGTCACTAAAATGCTAGGTGATGAAATAACTTAGCATGCTTATTTGAGCTTCCTTAACCAATGTGCTTATTTGAGAAAGGGAAAAAAGGAAAAGAAATACAGCAGTGGAAAAATGTTATTGGTGATCCCACTCTAAAAGGTTAGTGAATTCTCGGAATTGTGATATCTGAAAGGAGATTTAAAAAATTGTGAGTATTTTTAAAGTAATTTAGGGTCAGAAGGGTCTTTCTGGAAACAATCAGTTATGGAAGAGCCTGTGGATACCTGAGTTCTAGTCTTAACCACATCCCACTATGTGGCCTGGTTATCAGAGTCTCCAGAGTTTGCTGCAAATCCCCTTTATTGAGGGATCAGATGAAATCTTAACAAATTACCTTATGATACACACTGTCACGGAAACAGATAGTTCCAGCTTTTTGCTCTGAATCATTCATTGCTTTGTTCTTTCTTTCTTTCTTTGTCTGAATGCAACAAAATAGAAGCTTTTGAGACTGCACTTAACAGATTCCAAACTTCGGGAAAACGTTTTAGTTATCTGTGAGATCAACCCTGTTAATTTTGGTGCAAATAGAAAATGATTAAAGCTTAATTTCCACTAAAATCAGATTAAAGAAGGATTCTTTAAAAGCTTTCAGTGTAAGCCCTCTACAGCTGTCAGGCTATCTGTCCTTTTCCTTAGAAAGCCATGGTGGCTGCAAAACTCGTGAAACTGATGTGAGCAAAACTAAGCATGCAGAAGTGGTTTAATTGAGAATAGAATTTTTAGCCTGACTTTTTCAAAATGTAGGATTTGTGATAGCAATAATTTGGGGAGGGGGAATCTTCCAAATCCCTATCTTCCCCCTTTAGTGAGAGCTGTATGCATACTCAAAGATATGCAAGGAATTCTCTAAAAGGCTGGGCATGTTTCTTATATTTTCAGGATTGAAAAAAGTCTCCTTCTGTCTGTCTTTAGAACAAGCTATTAAAGTCTCTCTCAACCAAAGAGAGGGATCAGAGATTATCAGTACTGTGGATTTTCTGCTGCTTTAGGAAAATGCAGTAGCCAGGAACTGCATTAATAATACTTCACTGCATGGCAGGGCCATTTTAAAGGCTAGCATGTTAATCTTTATTTAGGTTTTAAATCTTATAAAGACTACTTGTTTTTAGAACAAATCTGGCTCTTCTGTCTATAACCTTATGGATTTCTAAAGGTTTTTAATTTTAGATAGAAGATGGGCAATTTACTTCATAATCTAATTAGTAAGTTAGAGTTGGACTTGTTTTGAATAATGTGAGACCAAGAAGGACAGGATGACGTTTCTAAGAGAGTATGAACAAATAGCTGGAGGACCTAGCTTTTCATTAGTTTGGTATTTTAATACATAGTCTCTCACAGGTCAAGGATTCAGCCAGGTACCTTTGGGCAATGCCAAAACATTTCAGGTGGATTTAATGGGTTGAAGCAAAGATAATTCTGTTATTTTGGGGCTATGCTTTCAGTGAAACCAGAACAAAACTTCCATTGATTTAAATACAAAACCAAGATCATGCTTAATGCTACTGTGATGTGATTCCTGACTTGGATGATGAATTTCTGATCTTCCAAAAGAGTATGCAGTACTCTAATGGCAGTAATATTTGCAGGTGACATATATGCAATTTAATATTTTTTTTCTGAAAGGCCTGGGATTTAGTTAAAAGGAGGTAGATGGAATTTTTTTCCATTGAGAAGTTTCAAAGAGTCACTAGACCACTCTATACTTTCACCACACACACGCATAAACCTAAATACTTGCTGCACTGTGGCAAATTAGTTATGGTATCATAGGCAGCATTAGCCAATAACTCTATGTTAAAGTGCCATTCCCTTATCCACATCATCTTCCATATCCTTCAGCTACTCTTGAGCCTATTTCTCAAGCAAAGGACCATTACTATTAAAAACGTAATATTACCTTTGTATTTGGAAAACAAGTAGTTTTTTTTTAACATTAATACTGTGTTTGCAAATGCTTCAATGCTGCTTGAGCTCTGCTCTTGATTAGGATGAGTGCTGTATTTCTCCGTGGCCTGATGTGTCACTGCTTCATTGCAGAAGGATGACTGTGGATCCCGAGAAGGTTTGCTGACAGGTGATTTCTCTGACAACTTGGAAGATGAGAAGTGATGTTACCAACGTGCTCTGCACACCCACACTGGGGTGCGTAAGCTTGATTCTGACAGAGTTCTGATACATTTGGTAGAATTACTCTGATGGATGAGGAGTATCCCCAAAGACAGGGTTCGTAGTGAGGCCAGAACTGTGCAGTATTCTGATTAGCTGTCCTCCTCCTTGAAGTTTCTTGGTGAGCAGTGCATACATGAACACACACTACTTTTTTCCTCCCACGCACACAAACTCTGCATCAAGTTGTTTAAGTGAGTTGTGACAGTATTAATGCTGTTGGCTTCTTTCTGCCGGGGGCTGACTACTGCACTCCTATCTGGAAAGTTTTCCACCAAACTCAGAGATTATTTTTCATTAAAACATTATCTGGTTTTGTCCCTCAAGCTTGGGTGTCTTTCTACTCATGAATGTAAACATCAAAGGCAATTAATAAATCCCTTTGAATAACGTGCCAATACTCTACTCTTACATAACTGTCAGTCCTAAGTAGAAGATGCTTTCTTACCAACTAAAGCATCTTGGCAAGGATTTCACACATTTTAAATTATTTCTGCTGCTTCCAGAGCATACATTAGATAAAATCTGTTGAATTTGAATCATTGACCCTTAACCTGAACAACAGTTTTACAAATGTCCTCCAGGAAACACATTGTGCACTTAACTTCCCCTATGAAAACTACAAAAAAATGTACACCAAAATACAAGGGCCAGAGCCATGACAGAATTAGACTTGGACAGGGATATGAAAACTACCTCAGCATACTTGATAGGATAATTTATTTTCAGCAATATACACTGTGTGACTACAAATAAATGCATGACATTGAGGAATTGTACATTTCATTTTTAATAGGTTTTTTTTGACTTGCAAAATATTTCCATTGACTCGCAATGCTTAAAGAGCCATGAAGTCGTGTTACTGATGAACATAGGGTTACTACAAGAAGCCTCATGCTATTAGCTCATACCAGAAAGGAAATAGCAGATTTTGTTGGTGAGGGCTTGGATCTTCAATGGAGTTGCAGGAATTTGGGCAGCTGGGGGAAGACCCTGTAGCCTTTTTCTTAGCAGCCTGCTAAAGAGATCACTGTGGAAGTCTCTTGCTCTAGGATTCCTACTGCTAGTGGTGGTTTGGGTTTGTTTGTTTTATTTTAATTTTTTGATACAGGATAATTCAAGTGAGTAGTCAATGTGAAGCTTTATCATCCTCTGCCTTTGGATGTCTGATTAAGCATGACTTGCTGTGATTGGGATTTTAAATACCAGAAGTCTTTCCAATTACCTCAATTACCTTTACCCAAGGAATGATTGCTATTTCCAGGTACGCATCCTGTTGTCCGCAGTTTCTCCCTCAGGATTTTCTGGCATCATTCTTGCATTAATAGGCCTTACGAAAGCTTACTATAGACTAGCAACTATCCCACGGTACCTCTGGAGTTTACTGCAGCCCTGACACGCTTTCTGTGTGCATTTTCTAACTCTTCTACATCCACTCCATTTTAGGAATGTTCAGAAGTTTCATTTTATTTAAAGCCTTCAAATGATAGAAATCATGTGTATGACATAGAACACATCCTATCCAAAAAACATTTCTTATAAATTCTTCTCTGATTATATAAGCCATCTGTAAAAGGAAGTTATATGAAAAAGATTAAAATAGGTATCACAAAGTAAATATTTACAGTAAAACAAGTAGTGAAATGTGTTAAATTGTTTCTTCAGTTCCATGTTCTAATAGCTCTTCTGGACATAATGTATTTGAAAAAATAGACTTAAATATGGAAAATCATTTATGACTTTCAGATGTATGCCCTGTCATGCTGGTTTGTGGAGAGTGTTGTCTAGATCTATGGGGCATACAATTGCTGTGCCAAGATCTGTGGTAGTATTTTGGCTTCTAGTGCCTAAATTCCCATTTACTGAAACAGGACGTGAGTCCTAAGAGATGAACCCAAAAGAAGATTTTACTTACACTTGAAACTATTGGCAGTATTTTTTGATTGCAGAGTAGAATTTTCTTATGTTTGAACCTTAACTCATATATGTATATAAATATATGTAACTACATATATATAGTTAGCTGAAATTATTGTATAGATTTTTGAGAGCCACATGCAGACCTGACACATGCGGAAAACACATGGAAGCTATTGCATAACAGTGAAACAATAAAAATGTAACCATGGCCTATTTTTCCTCTTTCATTCATTACTAACACTACCCCTTTCTCCCTGAAAGAAATCTGCAATGAAATATTAATAGCAACATACTTTTGAATAAACATCTGCAGATGTAAGCAATAGCCATTTAAGCTTGAATAAACACTCAGAACAAGAATAGTGAGTGTTAATAAAGTTCAAAATTACCAAGAAAAGGCATTGTCAGATTAATCCAGGAAATTATACTGCATTTTCAAAAAGTGTATTTTTGAAGAAGTAATACAACCTTTTGCTTTCTTTATGAGTGAAAAAGAACCTGTCTCCCTCTGCTGGTTTTCAGAGAAAAAAAAGTTTATAAAGACTAAAAAATCATAGCCGAAATTTTGATACAAATTACCATATGTTCCACAATTAGGACTTAAACTTGTTGCCTTTAAATACATAGAAGTCACCTTGAGGACATTAGAACCACCTATCTTGATGAGCTGAGAATTGGTAGATTTTTGTAGTATTTACTCTGTTTAAGCTAATTGTTTCTCAGTATATTTGGCATGATTACTTTCTACGTCCATCTTTAAGAAAATTTAATTTAAGGTAAATTGAAACTGTTTAGCCTTTAATTCAAACCTCACTGAATCTCGTAGCTATCCTGAAGAGCAGCCTGATATCAGAGGCATAAATGTAGATGCATCATTTTCCTTTCCTGCATAGCCTGAGTTAGTGTACTTTATAATTCAGCTTCTGAGGCAGCTTTGCATTGCTCCAGCTGAGGCTGGGTGCTGTGGGATGGGTGCTCGCACCTGCCCAAACGCCGCGTTGCCCACCCTGGGAGCTGCCAGCCCCCCAGTGCCGCTCCCCGAGGCGGGCAGACACCCACACGAGCTCTGCACCAAGGGGAGCGTGTCAGCGGGACGGGGCTGAACTTTGTGTTGCAGTCCCCACCCCGATGAACAAGTGTTTGGGAATTTCCACGGAACAGACGTGCTGCTCAAAGTACCGTGTTCTGGTACACATCATGGTATCTGCCAAGAGGTTTCTGTCCTGGGTACGATACACTCCATCTTCCTATTGTCAGAGAAAACACATTTCTCCTTTAATAGCCCCTGTGCTTCTACTAATAATATCTCATTCACAAAGGCAAGTAGCAATTCCAGTAGTTAAATTGAGGCATTCATCTGTTAAATTTGTAGGGCTTACATAAGTACATTTTAGACTGAGAAGAAAATTAAGGCAATTTTGTTTTTAAAGTGGTTTGGGGTTTGGTTTTTTTTGTTGTTGTTTTTGTTTGGGTTTTTTTTTTTTGGTGGGGACTTTTTTGTTTGTTTTGTTATTTGTTGGTTTGGTTTTGTTGGGTTTTTTGGGTTGTTTTTGGTTTGGTTTGGTTTGGTTTGGGTTTTTTGTTGTTTTTTTTTTTTTTTATTCCCATGTGTTATCTTCACCAAAACACATTTGTTATGCCTTGTTACATGAAGTCGCACTTCTGATCTGGGTATACATCAAGCGTCCTTGTATTCTCAATATTGTGTTAAAAGGCATCTGCCAGCTGCTGTTTGTCATATTTCCAGTTAATACCAGTGTCAGTATAGTTAATTACAAAAGTCGATTCGATTTTTGCATATGTCGTTTGGAATTCTTTTGTGAAGTTTGAATATCAGGGTAGTGAGCACAGCACATACTTTCTCCAAACATTTGACCAAATTCTCTCATGTTTATTCTGCCTGTAGTATGTAATGTAAATTTTAATAGAAATGTTCCTAAATAAAATTGTTTGGATTTTTACTGCTTGTTTATCTGCAACGCACTTTTTTTTTTTTTTTTTTTTTTTTAACAGGTTTTACCAAGTGTCTCCTGAAAACTCTCAGGGCAGCTATGGCATTTAGTCAATGTATCACAGCAACATATATAGTAGTGAGGTAGTGAGTCTGCTGAGACACACACCTTGTGCACTGCATTTACATGGACATATTAATAACTTCCTGTATAAGAAATACTTTAAAACTGATGTAATGTTTTCATGTGGGAATGTGTAACTTGTAATTATCCATTCATAAGCAAGTCTGCAGGCTATGTCATTGTTCCCTTCATTGACTCAACTCTCTAGAGGATAGTATCATTTTACCTAGGAGCTGGGCAAGGAGCAACTGCCAAGCAGTTATCTCTCTTGAAGCAGAACTATTTTGGCTGCCAAGCTGTGGAGAATGTTACGTGGCATCTGATATACAAATGCATTTTCTAAAACTGGCTGGTACTGCTTCTAGAGTGCACCTGATAATTAGTATATATTTAACATAGACGTAACTGAGAAACTATGAAAACAGAAGCAAAAGTACTGATGTTGGAGTTGCTCGTCAGTGTAAGGAGCAAAAGCAAAGGAAGGAATAGTATATCCAGTTTGTAATTTAGTGTGGTAAAAGCAAATCAGTACTTATTTAACATGAAGTGGAATTTGGGTTTTATGCAGTCCTTTGTAACCTAGAATATTTTGCAAAAATGAGATATTGCTAAAAAGCATGGGCTTAAGTTATTAAAATTCATACAAAATAGCAGGAAAATTTCCTGACAAGAAGGAAAAAATTTCTAAGGAGAATCACAAGAGGCTCTTAAAGTGTTATCATGGGACTGATAGGCTTGATAATAGTCTAAAATTCTGCACTAATTCATAGAATGAAACAAATAATCTTTTCTATCTTGACTTTTATGACCTGGTCATATTGTCGTATATTACATAATGTGATGGGGGTAAGTCAGTCAGATAGTCATGATCTTGCTGAAATTGTTGAATGTGTTAGCCGCCTTCTACTTAGGCTAAGCAGATTAATGCTCCATTGGCTGGTGATGGATGAAAACACAGAAAAATGGTTGTCCCAGGACTAAACCCTGTGGCAGGTGAGTCAGAGGTGCAGTCCGGAGCAGTTCCCTGCGAGCTGTGTGTGAGGGGCAAAGCAGCACAAACACTGGCAGGACTGTTTTACATCAGGAGGTGCTTGTCCATTAGCATCCCAGTGAGAAAGGCATTCTGCCTCTGTAAAGTATCATTTAAATCGCTGTTTATTAGACCCAGCACTACTAGGAGAGAATATCATAAATAATCCTACACCCCTGTAGATGCTGGGAACCCTGTTCAGCTGTGCAGCATCGGACGGGCGCAGCACATTCTGCAGACCCCATCCTTAGAAAAGGGTTTTCCATGTCAGTCAGTGTAGGATTTTTCTTACAAGAAAACAACGCTGTCCCTCATTTCTACTGCCAAACACAAAGGGTGTTCACATGGGAAGCTCTTGCTGCACGTTGAGGTAAAGGCAAGGATGCGCAGGTGGTATAATCGCCGGTACCAAGCGGGAGCTGCCTGCAGCCCCCTGTTACAGTGAGCCACAGGGATTATCCTGCGGCCAGGGGATGCACACAGCAAGCACAGGCATGAAGGCCGGGCTGTTCGGGCAGCACAGCCCAGCACAGGCCTCCTCCCATTGTTATGTGGGTCACTGACCCCCATGTACACTGCCCCACTGGCCAGCACCACTGCAGGAGCCCAAAAGAAGAGGTGGCCAGGAGACCCGACTGCCAGGACAGCAAATCTAAAATGCGATCCCAAAAGAAGGTGTATTTGGACAGGCAGTCTGCAGAGAAACCTGGACCTCGAGAGCAAAACAGATGTCTTCTGATTCTCTGTTCTGTGTTCAAAGTTGGAGCAGAATTGGCTTACTGACTGTCAATACTGGAATTGTGTCAGAAAGAATTGATTTCTGCTCTTAACTCACAACATGAACACTGAGGGCTTATATCACAAGGGTAGTAAGAACTCTCGTAATTTTTTTAAATCTCTGTAATTAAAGCATCACACCTGTGATGCTTCTACAGGAATACATTTTGTGTTGGCTTCCAAGTGTCCATCTTGCTCTTGGTGAACTCACCTGTAAGGGCTTTCATTGCCCGAACTGTACCGGGTCAAGATTTATCTGATAGAAAATGCTTAGATGCTAAAATGGTGGGGTTAATATATGATCACACAGAAAATGTCACTGCCAGCAGTGCAGTTTTGACATTCATTTACATTGTAGCTTCTAAACGGACACTTCTTTGTGTGTCTTCTATGCTTCATTAAGCGGTTTGTGTTCTTTGGTACTTTGGTGTGCTAGAAGTGCTGAATAAAATCGGCATAAACAGAATTCTTTTGAGTAGTATGCCCTGAATGGGTGGAATGTAAAGTTATTCTCTTTGAGAATTCTTTTGCATCTACATTAAAAATTGTATTGTTACTTTTAAATGTCCATTACGACTTTTAATTTGATTTTATGAAAGGCCCACTGTTGTATGAAATCCCCCATGCAATACTTTTGCGTGTACTCAAATCATTGTATTCTTTTGAAGCTGTTGTGAAGGTCAAACCAAAATATTGTCTTTGTGAAACGTGTTGGTATGTCTGGAAGGTTGGCGCTGACAACAGGGATCTGCCGCGGTCGGCCAAGTAGTTTCTGAAGTTAAATTCCGCGGTATCCGGTGTGGTGGAGGGAACCCGTTGTTCCGAGCCACCGGAGCCGTGGGCTGCCGAGGGACGGAGCATTTCTTGCTCCGGCGGATCCCCCGCCGTGCTGCGCAGCCCCGCAAGCCCCACGCCCCGCAGCCTCTGCCCGCGCCGCTC